CATCAACTGCTGGAATTATCTCTGGCCAATCACATGCCATGACAACATTAGCTCATTTGGTTATTCAGTCCGACAAGTCTAAAACATAGCCATCATCCATTTTGGTAGAAAAGCATTTCCATAGTTGCTTCTTATATTAGATCAAATTATTCTTTAATTTTGATAATGCAAGAAAAAGAAGAATTATATAAGCTTATCATGCCCAATTTATTTTTAGTCACAATTGGAGAGTGTAATGCACATTATCAGAAAAGAGTTGATTAATTTCTTGAATGTATTAATTTTGTGCACATCGTCTGGAAGCAATGAAAAGTAGTGAAGTCATAATCTTATAGTTTGATAATATTGTTATCGGTGATTAATTCAAGTTATTTGACCATGTGGCTCAATGAATACTTCTGCTCTACGAGCGAAAAAGGCAAAAATATTCTTTCAAAACCATGCTGTTATTTTCTTTTCAGGGGGGAGTGTGAGTGGATCGGAGGTGGTTTAGGAAAGTAACAGAAAATAAAAACAAGCAACATGGAACAGTTAGCCACTCAGCAAATCTTGGTAGCAAGAATTTCTTCAATTTGTTTTAACTGATCATGCAACAAATCAGACTCATCTTCTAAGGCATCAGGCAGAAGTGACAATACCAGCGGATAGCAGTTATATGTTGTCATGAAAATGTATTTTGAATTCCGGCTAAAAATGCATAAGCGGTTTTCCTCGTACATATCTGATGCATGCATATAACTGCTGAGTTTCGTCCTCTATCTTATCCACTGAATGAATGTTTTTTCCAAAATGCACTGAGCAAAACTATATGCTTACTCGCTATATCGATCAGATATAACAAAAACACGAGTTACTACGCCTCCCACATCATACTCCCACTTCTGGGAAAAAGTTGTCCAGACAATGCTTTTAAACGCTAGTTAAACTGATGAGAAGAATACATCAAGGTAGGCTCATATAAGAGGAAAGTTCATTTCACAAAACCAAGAGCTCAAATTCTAGAAAAAAAGACTGAACTGTGCCATCTCTTTCATTATTTCTTAAACCCATCGTTGAGAGCCAATTGTTTTTACAAATACAATTAACACGAGGCAACCCTTTTTCAACAAATTATATGAATATTTTTTAAGAATAAAATGCCAAACAAGGAAAACAAAAACTCAGCCACGCTATTCTACAAAAAGAGTCACTCTACAACAATCTTCGCCTACCCAGGCAAATACTGCCATGCAGCATAATATGAACAGGTTTCTCCATGGCATTGCTGGCAAAAATCTTTAATCACGTGGGATGAACAGCTCCCCATATTGATCTGAATCAGATCGTCCGAACTCGTTTCACAAGGGCGCTACATGCTAGCATTTAGAGCAAATCCAATAGAGGGGGCTGCTCTGGCTGAGACTTTGCATTACTAGACCCTGATGTTGAGGACCTCAGTTGCCCTTGATTTCCCCTTCCTCTTCCCCTTCCTCTACCAACAGCAGTTGATGGAGGTGGAGCAAGCCTTGGTGCAGTCTGCTCACCCTTGTTCGAGGAAAAAATTGATCCAATATCGTTGGCTCGACCACTAGAAGCATTCATAGCTGATGGCCCTTGACTTTGTTTCATAAATCCAACAGAATTCTGTGGGTTAAAACCCCAACTAGTGAGACCATCAGTGTGCGATGCAGTTCCTTGATTCTGTTTCAAGGGCTGAGAAGAAATTGGGGTGCTGAAAGCCCAAGAATCAAGGCCATTTGTTTGAGAGTTTAAACCATTCAGAAGAGTTGCACTATTGGCAGACACGGGTCTGTTTGCGAATGGGGCCACTGATCCATTGTTCAAAGAGTGAGAAGCAGCCGAGGAGCCACTTGGCCGGGGAGGCCAGTTAGCAAAAGGATCAATATCATCGAGAGTTGAACCCAATGCCCCCTTATTTTCTGGTTGTTTCTCAGAACTCCCAAGGATGGTGGTACCAAATGATGAAGATCTAGGAGGCCATTCCACATCAACTGCAGGACATGAAGATGAAAGTTGCTGGCTAGATAGAGCAGATGTCATGGACGATTGTGAATGTCCAGAATTAACTTGGATCGACTGGCCTGCAGTAGTAGACTGAGCAGGCAATGTTGTAGAAGACTGGATGGTGGTTGAAGGTCCCCTTGCAGGAACCCAGTCTTCGTCCCATGATGGGCTGCGTTTTGTGGTAGGTTGAGAATTCGCACTTGTTTTATTCACTTGTCTGGGCAGCTGACTGTCAACTGTTGGAGATGATTTTATGTTTACTGCTGGATTTCCAGAGTCACTCAGTGTCACTCCTCGTTTCTCTTCTATTTTCCTGTATCCCAAGAAATTGAAAAAAATAATAATAAATGGAGATGATACAAAATTTAAAACCTGATGCACTAGAAAGTTCACTCAAATGGAAGTCTACAAGTATACATTACAGCATACCATTTCTTAAACATGTAGAACTGCTTTTTCTTTTGTCTTCTCCTTTACTTTTACATTTCGTTTAATTCTTTTTTTT